GAATGATTGGAACAAAGTCAATCCAAGAGGATTGAACACTGAGAGAGAGGAGAGGAGAGAGGGGGAGAGGAGAGGAGGGAGGATCTCCTGTTGCCCTCCACGATTGGGCAATTTCTGGCCCCCATTTCCAAGGGTCATCCCTTCCCCATTCACACATGTTAAAGTGTATCGGTTGGCCAGTTTGATTGAGCGCCTTCGAGAACTCCGTGTAGGTCTCCTTTGGATCCATTCCTTCAGTATGACACCAGTCCATTTTCACCACATCGACCCCCCATTCAGCAAATACAGCAGCATCCTCTTGAAAATGGCCTCGTGAGCCAGGGCGACCACCCACACATGTGTAGTTGCCAGCACATGTGTAGAGGCCAAAAGTAAGGCCTTTCGAGTGAGCGTAGTCCACTATTGGTTTCATCCCATTTGGAAAGTGGTCCCGTTCGGCCTGCAAAAACCCTGACTCGTTTCGCTCCTTATCAGCCCAGCAGTCGTCCAAATGAAAGTGTCGATAACCAGCATCATAAAGGCCGACCGAATGGAAAGCGTCCACTGAAAGCTTCGCGCTGGTCTCATCACAAAAATCGAAGACCGGAGCTTCCGCGTGAGATGTTTGCCATTGAGGTCCAAGGGCCACCCAGCTCGACCAGCCCAATGGTGGTCTCCGGGAGTTTTTGGCTCCATTATCGTATCCCCAAACTAAAGCGACAGATGCCACACCGACCCATGTTGAGACGCCCATGGCGCAATCTTGCTATCCACCAACACTCTACCCTCTGAGCTTCTGCTCCAATGCATGCCAATGCCTTCAGCAATCATGTCTGAAGGAGCATTGACCCCATTCAACACAAACTGCACAGGTTCCATGAGGAGGACGCTGGAGTTCTGCTCCCTGGGCTCGGTGCCAGCAAGACGTCTGCAGAGGGTCGTTGAGGGCACACCTGGAGGGATAGACTAAGAATCAAAAATGACGAGACATTGGTGACATGACCTGCAAGTGTCTCTGTGAATCGAGCATATTGCTGCATATTCTTGCACTCTTGCATATCTATATATGAGAAACACAAGAACTCTCAATGTCAAACAGCCTCAGCCAAAACAAAGTGTCGCAGAAGCTGATGACGGACAGAATGTCCTGGAGCCTACATTGCACTGAGCAAGAGGCACCTGCAGAAAAATGGATATATAATATATACATACTCTGAAAAATGCAAAATTGGTCGTTCGCACCTGGACTTTCAAGTCATTAGGCAAAGCAAGTCGTGCCTAGCCATGGCAAATTGTGCCAAAGCAAGTCACTCGCTCTCACTCTCGTAGCTGTACAAATGGCCGAGATTGGCACCAGGCATGGCCCGAGTGAGGCAATTGCATAGGCCTCTGACCAAGGCAAAGCACAAACAAGACAGAACAGTGAATAGACAATCCTTAACAGGGTTGGTTCTCGCCAATCCTCCCTCAGAAATGAACATGCTCGCACCTTTAAAGAACGTTTTCTACGTTTTGCTGGCAAATGCCCGGACTACTCCAGGCAAGATTAGCCAGGTTGTAATCTGAGCTATTCAGCCCTAGTCCTTGCTGTTCCACTCCAAACTGATGATTCCACTTTGGGCTAGTGGGCCCTATGCGAGCACTGGTTTATCCTAGTGATCCACCAAGTCTTATGCAAGAGGTGTCTATATTGCCTGTGTTCGCAAGATTTCACAAATACCCAGAACGGGTCTTCAGGATTCAACTTGCACTTGAAGTGGCTTCCTCTGAGCTAGTCTCATCTATATACTCAGAACTACTCTCAATTCTATTCTGGAGAATAATTTCTTTGGTGGGCTCTTGAGTCTAGACTGGTGAAGCCGGGCTACTCAAGACGCTTTAAAGCATACTACTCTACTCCTCTATTCAGCCGTTACCCTGCGCCGACCGGTCCGGACGGGCTAAGTGCAAGGCGTTGGCACAGCCAAGAAACAGGTTTAGAAGGTTATTCTTATTGTTTTTAATAGCTCCTTGTTCCTAGTAGAGTAGCGTGGCACCTGTTACTACTAGTAAGGCACTTGTTCCTAGTAGCTTATTGCAGCTGCATACACTCTTTCGTCATCAGAGTGTTCGTCAAAGTTGTAATGTGGAAGAACTTGTTCATAGACAAACTGTTCGCGTGATGCAGCCAGTTTTCGTGTGATACTCACGATTCTGTTCTGGGTTACTCCAGGAATTTCGGGCTACACCAGTGAGCTCGTTCTAGTAATAGCAATTTCTCAACGCCTGTGACCCGCCCTTATCAGCATTTGGAGCCTGTGGTGTCAACCCTGACGCAGCATCGCTGCACAGCCGAACAGCTGCGGCCTCGGATTTTGCGATGTCTACATCACAACTCCGCACACAGCCACAAAGTCGAATGGTGTGCTGCTGGCTTGAAGCCCGTTTATGCCGGCTTTCTGCCATTCCGCAAAGCAAATGATTCCAAGAGCCAAACTCCTGGAGCATTCCCCATTGACGATGAAATCAGCATTTCAGCTGCTGGCCTGGGTTTCAACACTCGCTTTGAAGAGTTTGTCGGAATGATTCAATCGCACTGCCAAGAGACAAAAGGTCTCCAACCGCTTCTGCACTGCGAGCACCTGTTTAAAACTTGCAGTACTTCCAAGCAGTTCGTTGTAAAAGTGAGAACCCGCCTTGTGCCAAAAGCCCGTTGGTGGCAGCTTGATAATGTCGCCGAACCAAGCTGATGGCATCGAGACTTAAAGCAAAGCAGAATTGCTTGGGTTGCTCTCACACTTCGAAGGCCTTTGCAACACGCGGGGCTGCAGCTGAAACGCCATTGTCCCAGCTGCGTACGTGGACGGGCGTGTCACTCGAGTCTTCTCGGCCTTTTGAGACAGGAAAGCAACTCAACTCGTGGCCTTGTTTCAACTCATGGCCCTCGGCCTGGTCCAGCAACCACAGACCTCGAGAACTGCTGCAACTTGGACTACACCGTTTGGCCTACAGCAGCAAAATGATACAAGCAAGATATGTGTATGCTTTCGCAGGTGGTTGAAGCCAATCCCTGATCCACAGCTTGCGATATCTTTGAAGAGAGGACAGGCACTCCACTCCACCCACACAGCAAATAGCAGAAATGATCACAAATTACTTGCACACAAAGACCTGCCCGAGAAAATACTACCCTTTCTAACTCAGAACCGCTCTGTGTATCCATTGCATTCCTCTCGAGACAGAGTCCAACACCACGTTGATTGCTGCCACAGGTGGCCTCTAAACTTCAGAGCCAAACATGTGTCTGTCCATTCCTGGAGATTGCATGATGCCTCGTTGGTCCAACTTGTCCAGTATACAGTCTTCATTTGGATGCGCCAGGCCTATCATCACAGCCCAGCTCCTGCGACCATTCCAGCAGAAACTAATACCCGTTTAATGGCAACAATAATTCTGTTTGTCGGGAAAAATTACTAAACTGAGAAACAACTTACAAATCCCTCCTGAAGCACCAGCAGAACCAGCTGCCATTGAGTGGCTTTCGCAGCTGAAGCCATGGCAGCTACTGAAGCGATGGATGTGAAGTGCAAGTGTCCATAGTTGTGGCGATAGGTCCCAAGCAGAAGCATCGCCACCTCCCATGAGCCCAGCTCACAGGCAGCGATGACTGACCTTAAAACTACTTCATTACTGAGTTCAAAGTGCTCATTCCACGTGGCAATTGCCAATTGCCAAGCTTGACCAGATGCACAAGCATTCACCATGGCACCCACCAGAGCAGAGTCTCGGAAACGAAAGTCTGAAAATCGCTTGTGAAGAATCATTAGTCCTTGTAACCACTTGGAAGCAATACTGCAACCCGAAAGCACGGTCGTAATCGCAGCCCTTTCTGAGATCTTCGAGGGAAAAGAGCTGCTCTCGGGCAGCAAAGCCAAAGCTTGCCTCCACTCCATCACTTCCACACAAGCCTTTATCGCAATGCCATAGCTAGCTCCATCTGGATGCGCTCTTGCAGTCTTGAGCATGGTGAATAGGTCGCTGAGGGTTCTCATGTCATTCTTCCTTGTCCTCGTGAGAGTGACATCAGTGCTGAACACAAGTAGGGCGCCCCTCCAGTTGCTGGCTCTTCCAATGGCAGACAGCAAGGAATTCAGGGAGATCACATTGGGCGAAAGGTTCGCCTCAATCAGTTCCCGAACATTTGCAATTGCTTTTTGCCACAAGGAGGAGCGTTCTAGTGCGCTCGTGGTGATGTTGTAGCTGACCAAATCTGGATCCACACGCCTCTCCGGAAAAGTACCGAAGAAATCATGAGCCAAAAGACCTTTGTCCGCATCTTTGAGGACTGCCAAAGTCTTGTTGAGCGTGAAGACACTTGGATGTGTTCTTCTTTGAGACAAGTCTGCTATCAGTTGCAAAGCTTGCTGCCAGAAGTCCTTTCTCATTGCCAGTGCACCTCGTGCACCTTGTGCCAGTGCTCCTCGTGCTCCCATTTGATGTGCTGTCCCACCTGAGAAAAGTTTGGCGAGCGGTCATCGGATCCAGTGCAGTAGCTAAAAGCATCGGCAACGTCGCTGCTCAAGCTTCACAGCTTCCGCAAGTTGCCAACATCCCGGAGGATGTTCGCACAATCGTCACTTTGAGAAATCTAAGATCGGCGGGGCAGTGTGCAGGATTCCAGCAGTTTCAACTCTTCGTGCAGGAAAGACAAGACACGAGCAAGATCACAAGAAAAAGACTATTGCTCTTCTTGTTCGTAAGCCATCCATACACAAGAACACAAAATAGACATTCTACTTCTGCCTGCAGAGCTGCTGCTATGATGCTTGGAGACCTTGGGACGTCAAGCTTTGCACTGTGACGCCATTGACCGGATATACCAAGTATATACAATTGTTATCAATTGTTGGTCAGATGTTGTCACTGAAAACAGCACCTTGAGAGTGAAGAGGTGCCGTACTTTAATTACTTGGCTTCGCCACAACATCAATAGACCAAACCAAGTTTTTGCTGGCATCCCTCACAATGAACAATGCTCTTGAGATCGGACAATGTCCGGGTCCTCTGGGTCTATGTTTGTTGGTCTATGTCGTCTGTCTCACACCGACCAAAGTGTATGTGAGACTGCCTGCACATGCTGGATGCCTTGAAGTCATCAATAAACTCTATAGGGTTGGGAGAGTACCTTCATGTTTATACCCCATGAACCAGCTACACCAGTGCTCTTGACGAACCCTGTTCAAGACCAAAGTCAAACATTGCATATCTACTAAAATGGTGCCACGGCCTTTTCTAGGGTTTCGCTTGTTGCATCATGCACTCGCTTAATGATATAAGTTTGGCACGCGCATCTTGTGCTGTCATCAAGGGTTCAAGCCACAAAAGAACTTCGATGATTGTGTGTTCACCTGCTTGGGTTCTGTATGACTTTTGAAGTGCTGAAAGTTAAAGAATGGGCAGCAAGCTTGAACCCCTCACTATCACTCAAGTAACTGCCCAAACAGTCCCGACCTCACACACTTGAACGGTTGACATAGGCTTTGCAAGAAGGAGCCTGAGCCAAGCCAAAACCAAAGACAAGCCAGCCAAAACTATTTCAAAGTGGTCCCCTTGCAATTTATCTTACAATCTCGATTGTTCATGAAAATCTGAACCAAATGATCACGATGTAACCAACGGCCACAATCCAAATGAACGATGACTGGCCATTCCGCCAGAGAGGACGAACTGAAACAACGTATATAACCTGTGTACACCACACCAATGATGACAGGGAAAAAAGTCTATGAACCACGCGCAAAACTGCTGGAATAGGCCTCAAGTACCAGGCCATACCCAAATGCGTCTAGATAATCTATAGTCGAATCTATAGTTATATATATAAACCATCTAGGCTTACACTCTTTTCACGGTTCTGTTCTCCTGGGCGGGTGGCTGTTCGAGTGGAGGCTGAGCGAAAAGCAATTGCTTTCCCCACCAGATCCAAATGGCTCTGCAGTCTGCGTTCATTCTCAATTAGTCGAGTGTATACATCCATTAGATCTGCTTTTGAGTTAAGGCAAAGCTGTGTCCAGGAAGGCTAGCCATACCAAGTCCCAAAAAGGCCAACTTGCTCTGCAAAAGACTCGCTATACTATACATAATACACCATTCCAAGCCAAAAAATGCACTCTTTTGCCAGCAGCTTTCACAAGCTGTAAGGATACACTCCCGAAATCCGATCAAATCACAACCACAAGGATCAAGAGTCATCGGCAGGACTTCAAATGCCACATTGCTCTTCATGTCAGAAAGGTGGCAGGAAAGTCCGCTAGCGGTGCATCATGCTCGCGAATTCAGTTACCTTCAATGCAGGTCAGCTGCGGGCGAAGCAACAGAATCTTGCAAAAAAGTGAAGCATGTAGTCATTGAAGCTCTGCTTTCAAGCACCCGCAGCTGCATTTCACTGGTATACCCAAGCCTTCGCCACAAGCAGCGATCATTTGTTGGGAAGGGGTCTCAAACACGTCTGCTACACCTTTATATACAAGATATCAATGCTAGCAGACATGCAACAAAGAAGGAGGGTGTGCGAGATCCACATTGCATGAATAGTGAAGCTTACAGCACGCACAAAGGCTCTTCGCATGCACTTGAAGGCTCTTTGCTCTTTGCTTACAGCTTTGAACGGATGATCCATGCCGCACTTCACCGGCCGCTGGTGCTGCGCACTGCCTCAGCCACGAGTCAACCACTCTCAAAGGCCAGGACATCAGGTGAAAGCTGACGACAACGGGCATTCAGACCCACAGCAACAAGCTCGGTCCAACAAAGAAACTGTAAGAGGACTGCACTTGCAGAACCTGTTTTTTGCACATGGAAAGCGGGAGCAAGAATATTGTAGATATACCTTCAGCTGCGCTTATTTCTCTTGCCCTAGCAAGCAAAAACAGGTGTGGAAGGGATATCAAGTTCAACAAATCGGGGTTGGTTGCAGAACAAGTGAGCTCGACCAAACCCATGACATTTCACTAACTTTCCACACAAACCTTGCAAGAAGGTTTATGTTGGGTGGATTTTTTCCCTGCGGTCAAAAAAGCTGACCACGCGGCTTGCGAATAAATGTCACACATCACTTGCAAAGCTACGAGCAAACGACGGATTGTTCATCCAACACCAAAAGTGTTCAGAGCTCATGTGTAAGGCCCTCAAGACAATTGCTGATCGACAGACAAAGGTTCTTGCGTTGCCGTTTGCGGCCGGGTACCAATCCGGCACAGGCATGTAAGGATAAAGACCCTCATTGCCGTGAAGCACATATACAGTGCCCGTTCCGGTAGCCACTGCTGAAAAAACTTCCGGTAGCCACTGCTGGTGTCCTCTACTGCAACACCATAACGACATGACCCTCCTAGGCCCTCCTACAGTACCCCTACAGCAAATGTTAAAGCTTCCGATAAGGGAAATACTCAAATATTCAGAGACCGTTATGTAAAAATGCAACAAATCTATTCACAACTCCTGCTGCGTGATTAGAAGTTCAAACACACGCAGACCGATGCAACATCAGTTGTTGCTTTCAGACGGCCCTCAAACAATCTCTAGAGCCGAGACGTATGCTAAATGCAACAGAACATTAATTCAGGCAACAGAACAATAAGCTACTAGGAACAAGTGCATCGCTTCTAGTAACAAGTGCCTTACTAGTAGTAACAATGTTTGCTAGTAGAATCATCTACACACATTCCGAAGATGCGTTCAATCGCATTCATGCGTTTGCTGAACCTGGAGTCTCTGAAGTGAGAACTTGCTCGAATGACTACGAATTACGTAGGTCACGTTTCATATCTTCAAAAGTCAAATTTTGTCAGCTGTATCACTGAGGTGATCAACATGAAAGGACTTCTCCCGATAGAAGGTAGTAATTTTGCAGATCAAGCTGCAGTACAGGCCAAAGAACACGAACAAAAGACTTTCAAAACCTTCGAGAAGCTATTTACCAGTATCACAAAAAGGAGCTTCAACAAGTTTCTGACCTGTGGCAACTTAAGCATGCTTAAGCTTTGTTTTTGCAAAGTGCCTGTCCAGGCACGACTCATGACATCTTTCGGTGCTTTACGCGGGGTCCTAGGACGGGCGAGATGACCTGGTTGTTTTGCCTTGCATTGTCATGGCCCTATTTGGAAAATCCAATCGTTCCAAAATGATAAGGCATATCAAAATCGTGGCTGGAGCTTGCAATATCCTTC